CATGAGGCAGCAGTGTGCCCTTGTGGCCAAGAAGGCCAATGGTATGCTGGGGTGCATTAGGCAGAGTGTTGCCAGCAGGTGGAGGGAGGTGATCCTGCCCCTCTCCTCAGCCCTGGGGAGGCCTCCCCTGGAGTGCTGTGTCCAGTTCTGGGCTCCCCAGTACAAGAGAGACATGGCGCTACTGGAGAGAGTCCAGCGGAGGGCTACAAAGAGGATGAGGGGACTGGAGCACCTCTCCTATGACGAAAGGCTGAGAGAGCTGGGCCTGTTCAGCCTGGAGAAGAGAAGACTGAGAGGCAATCTCATCAACGTGTACAAGTATCTGAAGGGGGAGTGTCAAGAGGATGAGGCCAGTCTCTTCTCCGTGGTGCCCAGCAACAGGACAGGAGGCAACGGGCAGAAACTGAACCACAGGAAGTTCCATCTGAACAAGAGGAAAAACTTCTTCACTGTGAGGGTGACAGAGCGCTGGAAGAGGTTACCCAGCAAGGTAGTGGAGTCTCCTTCGCTGGAGATATTCAAAACCCGCCTGGATGTGATCCTGGGCAATATGCTCTAGGTGACCCTGCTTGAGCAGGGAGATTGGGACTGGATGATCTCCAGAGGTCCCTTCCAACCTCAACCATTCTGTGATTCTATGACTCTGCTTAGAGACAGCTCCCAGGCACACAGAGGAGACATCATAAGCTTTAAATTGTCTGTGATTCAGGCTTTAAGACCCCACATGACCAAGAAACATAAGCCTGACACTCTGCAGAGCAGAAAAAAGAGGAATACATAAAGGAAAACAAGCAAGCCAACTAAGTATGCAGATACAAACTTCTTCCAAAGTAGGCTGGTCTAAGCCCTGGACCAGGGCTGTAATACGCATTCTGAAGACAGGCAAAGAAAGCCGTGTATCATACCGTGGCTTGTGGTTAACTGCACATGCTTAAACAGGCAGCTTCAGCACTGGCAGACCAATTGATAGTTGAGTTTAATATGAATAAGGAGGTCAAAATAATTCAATGCTCTGCTTGTTGTCATAGAAAATCTCTACTTGTAGTAACGTAGTTCAGAGAAAGCCTTTATTCTCACACACACACACAGGTAGCTGCAGGGGAAGCATGTTTGATGCACAGATCAGGCAGAGGCTTCCCCAATTAGCATAAGTAAATGGCTTATCTACATTTCTTCAGCTGGTATAGCTACTATCTAGCACTCTCGTGATTGGCTATATATCCAAGGTAAAGAACAAAAGAAAACGGAATTCTAACTAACTAATTCTAAACTTCTAACCAGTTCTAACCTGTTTGAATTCCTGGTGAGCCAGGCAGGATTTGAAGAGTTTGTACAAAGTTCAGGAGTACTTTCTTTTTCCGTCTTAAGACGGCAATTAGTAAAAATGGAGTTAGTCTTCTTACTATTGATTGTCTTTTACTTCCATATTGTAATCCCAAACACAGAAAAAATCCCCTGGAGTCACAGTGAACAAAACTGTCTCATTAGCTTTCTCCTACACAGTGGAAGTATTTAGTACCTCCCCTCACACATTACTGAGTTCCAGGATATTCATCAACCAAAACATACAAAATACTTCATATTTCCTGGAAGAATTCCTGCAGAATTAGAAAAGTATTTGACATTTCAAACTACCACAAAAGTTGCTTTAATAAGTTATATATCAGATGTTTTACTTCATACAAGAGGAAGCAGAAAATTTAAAAATCAGAACAGTTAAACAGCTGAAATAAAACGGTGTGAATTCATGCTGCTCAGACAGGCCTGCTGTCTTTGCTAAAGAGCAAATCTGTTGACACTGAATATCTTAATGCAGTGATCAGCTCCACAACTTGCAAGCTGCAACCACTTGCTGCTGTCCTGATCATTATGTCCAGCTCTGCCCTCATGTCGTCTCCAGCATAGACGCTTCACAGCAAGAGCATGACTTTGGCTGCAATAAAAAGAAATCCATACGTAACCGCAAAATGTCAAGCAGAGTTGGACGTGGGAGTGTAAACATCATCATTTATATAATTAGTACTCTCCTTTCAACATTACCAACTGAGAAAAAACTCACTTGTGACACAGCAGGTATTAACTTCCTAAAATAAGTAGGGTCATTAACACTAAAAACACTTTATCTTCCTGCTCATCAAAAACTTAAATAGCTATTGCTTTCAAGTTTTACCACATTAAGTTGCAAGTCTAGCATTTCAATTACTGAGCTATGACAACTAGATTTCTGACTTTTAGCCAGAGATTTCCTATCAGTTGATGGCTCTTTCAAATTCATTTCAAGCACATACAAGCAAAAGTCACCATCATCTTTCATTTCTGGTTACCAATGCCAGTATGTAAGGGAAGAGTCTATGAAAAGTGTTCCAAGTGAAATATCCGAAGTATCTCTACGGAGAGTTTCTCTAGCTGTCACCACAGCACCACTGTGTATAATTTGTCATTCCATTGGCTTCTGTTAGAAGTTGCTGTAGAAGATCTACTGATGTCCAGTCCAAAATGCTTATTGGGTAAGAGTCCTCACTTATTTACTGATTTATTTAGACAGTGGCTTTTTCCCTCTCACTAATTTTTATCATCCTTTTTGTGGCTAAAGATAATAAAGCTCTTTTTTTTTTTAAACAAAGAAATTGGTCTTTAAGCCAAAAAAAAAGGGAATAACCTGTCAAAATATTTACACAGTGTGAAGTATCTTAGGGTTTAACCCTCTCTATCTTCTGTTTTTCTTAATGATTCTAAATAACCAGTATTTTTATTTCCAGGTTTGGTTTAACAGACATTAGGGACTTAGAGACTTTCAGGGATCACCTTTTCCAAAAAGGATGACAAATTGTTGATATACAAATAAAACATACAAATTCTTTTATATTATAAAAAAAAACTCCAGAACCATCAGTCTCAAGAAGGTAGTTTCCTTGCTTCTGACACCCTTCAAAAGAAATACCTGTTATCCATCTCAACACACTTGGTCCAATCAGCTAATGCTGGTTCCTGCCCACTCCGCTTCCATGTATGCAAGTTAATCTTTCCACACTCTAAGCCTACTGCAATGATGTATCTGTCAAGAGAGCAATTGCATTACTTGAGAAGTTTAAAGCAAACAGTTTAGTAAAGCTAGTGGTAAAAGCAAGCTAGAAAGAACTAGTGCTCAAAACATTTGTGCTGCATGTTGCCTTCAAGTCTATATTTACTTTGTCACCAAGAAATCACAATTTAAAACAAAGTTTCTTTATAAAAAAAAAAAAAAGAGTAAACCAGAAACCTGCAAAATATATTGGGATAGAAAAAAAATACAGTGCTCATAAGGAGGGTTATTACAGCATCAGACAAGCTGATATTGTTGGAAAAAACAAATGTGCTTCAGATGTACTAGCCCCCTCACTCCCCTTCTTTTTCTCGTTACATTGTTTGGAGAAGACACTGTACACTGGAATAGGAGGATAGGAAAGTTAATTCAATTAAAGGATGGTATGGTCAAAATATTTGACAAGTTTAAGAGCTACTTAGGCCACAGAAGCTGACTAAAGTGGAAAAAATACTAGTTTCAATATAAACACAGAACTGCATTATGAAAAGACAGCCATACCTTCCATCGGGAGTAAGCACATGGCTGATACTAACTGCCATAACAGAATCGCCAGCATCCAGCACTGTTGAACAAGGCTTGACTGAATCCAACATATTCCATTCAGTAGTACCAGATAAGTCACACTGGCCCCAAATAATGACCTACAAGAAAAAGAATCATCTAGAAATTTTCACTTCAATCTTTTTGTAAATGCACTTAATGAAAATCTCAGGAATAACTTAATTAGAACACCCCAGAGCACAGAACAAAGTTGCTGACCCCTAAAATAGCCAAAATTCCTATCTACTGAAGTTCAAGTCTTTAAAAAGTCTGCCTGAGTGTATTAAAGATACCGACACAAAACACAGATTCCATTACAAAATCTAAAGAAGAACTTAGAGACCCCTAAGAGTTATGTGACATATGTTTGTCATAAGAAGGGAGGAAGTCTACTTGATAGACCACAGTCTTGCACATACATATCCAAGCATTTTATTTGGCGTAGGAAAGTCTAATTGATTTCTATGGAAATTCACACAATAAATTTGTTATGTATTTATAGATTCTGGGCTCATGAGAACACAGCATCTGCTAACCTAAAATACATTTAAAAACAATTCTTATTTATGTTAGGCTTTGTTAATACCTTTTTTACTAATTACCTTTTTGTCCCGACTGCCAGTAATAAAATACTTGCTATCTGGTGTCCAATCACAAGACCAAATGATTCGACTGTGAACAGCTGTATTTTTGTCTGTGTATGCACAGCAACAGAAAACTGGTTCTGGAATAAAATATGTAGAGGAAGACCCTTGCTTCAATTACTTTACATATAAAAAGTAATTATTATTCTTACTTACTCTAAGTAAGGACTGTAGGAATAGTCCAGCATTATTCCAAACATCTTTAAAGGAGTTGGGAATACTTAGCAATGTACATTTTTTTCAACGCTTACCACATGCTCATAATTAGTACTTGTTCAAGAAGGTATCAGTCAGCCTTTACAGAACTAAAACTATGGGAACAGTTTGCTCTTTTACATACACGTTTCAAAAGGCATGAATTCCAAGCATAGGACGTTAAGATTCTATTCAAGCCTACCATAAAAGTTTTCCAGTAAGGCTCCAAGAGCTTAAATCATAATGACCTAATCCTGAAGATTAATCGACCACTGTCGATTAATCGACCACTGGCCCAATTTGGCCACTTGGGAGGAATACAGGGACGTTGTCAGAGTGTGCAGGGATGCGACAAGGAAGGCTAAGGCCCAGTTGGAATTAAATCTGGCAAGGGATGTCAAGGACAACAAGAAGGCCTTCTTCAAATACATCAATAGCAAAAGGAAGACTAGGGAAAACGTGGGCCCGCTGCTGAATGGGGCGGGTGCCCTGGTGACAAAGGATACAGAGAAGGCAGAGTTATTGAATGCCTTCTTTGCTTCTGTCTTCACTGCTAAGGCCAGTCCTGAGGAATTCCAGACCTTGGAGACAAGAGAGGAAGTCTGGAGAAAGGAAGACTCTCCCTTGGTTGAGGAGGATCGGGTTAGAGATCTTTTGTCCAAACTTGACATCCACAAATCCATGGGCCCCGATGGGATGCACCCACGAGTGCTGAGGGAGCTGGCGGATGTTATCGCTAGGCCTCTCTCCATCATCTTTGAAAGGTCCTGGAGATCAGGAGAGGTGCCTGAGGACTGGAAGAAAGCCAATGTCACGCCAGTCTTCAAAAAGGGCAAGAAGGAGGAGCCAGGAAACTACAGGCCTGTCAGCCTCACCTCCATCCCGGGAAAGGTGATGGAACAGCTCATCCTGGAGGTCATCACTAAGCATCTGGAGGACAAGAAGGTGATCAGGAGTAGTCAGCATGGATTCACCAAAGGGAAATCATGCTTGACCAATCTGATAGCCTTCTATGACAGAATGACTGGCTGGGTAGATGAGGGCAGAGCAGTGGATGTTGTCTTTCTGGACTTCAGCAAGGCTTTGGACACTGTCTCCCATCACATCCTCCTAGGTAAGCTCAGGAAGTGTGGGCTAGATGAGTGGACGGTGAGGTGGCTTGAGAACTGGCTGGATGGCCGAGCTCAGAGGGTTGTGGTGAATGGCGCAGAGTCAAGTTGGAGGCCTGTGGCTAGTGGTGTCCCCCAGGGGTCAGTCCTGGGCCCAGTCTTGTTCAATATATTCATCAATGACCTGGAGGAAGGGACAGAGTGCACCCTCAGCAAGTTGGCTGATGATACTAAACTGGGGGGAGAGGCTAACACACCAGAAGACTGTGCTGCCATTCAGAGGGACCTGGACAGGCTGGAGAGGTGGGCGGAGAGGAACCTCATGAAGTTCAACAAAGGCAAGTGCAAGGTCCTGCACCTAGGCAGGAATAATCCCATGCACCAATACAGGCTGGGG